TACATATCGTTGAGAAATTAAAAATTAACAAAAATAAGTATATTTGTAGTATTAGATTAAAAATAATGTTATTCATAGTGAAAATTACCGACAGTCATTCTACGTGGCATACATATTGCAATTTGTCGTATATTAAAAAACTATCACATGCATGTCACGTAAGATGATTACTAGTAGTTTTCACTATGAATAACATCACTTTTATATTAATATGACATATTATTTTATGGTATGGTATCAATAAAATCCTTGTTTTGAATTTGATTAATAAAGAATGGCAGTGCGGATGGACCAAGACCAAGCATGTGCATGGGTTCTTTGGGTTGGTTAGCACTTAGCTGTCGCAGTTACATATAAATATGTTGGGAGGGGACCAAAACCAGCAACATTTGACATGGCCCATTTCTATATTATTAACAAATGTACATGTTTTTCGAGTTGCAATGACGTTGCGGAAGAGAGGACCAAATTGTGGGCTCAATCTCACATTTCAGTCATCCAACCACTCTTATGTATGACCATTCCAACATCTCCTTTATATGTACGTTTTATATGTACACGCCCATGACCCATATGTGAACATATAGATTTTTGTCTAACGTGCTAGAATGCTCTAGTTCAAATGCGTATATAAAAGTATCAAATGTGCTAGAACACTCGAGTTTAGGCCATCTAGCAAGCCGTTTTGGGACTTGTAGCTTCTGTGAGCATATATCTAAAATGAAAAACAAACTTAAACAGTATGGAGACTCAATGTTACAACTGGAGCTCATGCTCAAGCCTTAAATCACGTTTTCTGTCTTATAAGAGATCTAAGTTGAATCATGATATCAATTTTTTAACGACTAGAGCTTGTGCTCAAGCCATGAAATCATATATATCATCCACTTTGGGAGAGCTCGTGTCGATCTTATCCCTCACGACTTTTTATCGCGTATTTCATTATTTAAATTTAAGACCTCCTACCTTATGAAAGATTTAAGTTGAATCTTGGTTTCAATTGGACAACTTGCTCAATTGATATTAAGATTTAAATTAAGTCTCTCATAAAATAGATGTGCACATGCTCTCTTATCAAATAGAACAATATGTATGATTTAATGAGTATAAAAGCTCGGATCTTTACACTAGACATAAGCCTTTCTTTGTCCATATAATATTAAGCTTGGTGTGGTTAAAAATGTGTCTCACAAGGTCACAAATAGCCTGCATAAAATCATCTCAAATTCAAACCATGCCTAACAATGGAGGATCACAAATAATGTTAGGCCCGACATGACTAGTCAAGACTTAGATCCATGTCGGGTCAAAAGTAACCTAGATAGATCTACCAGTTCAAAATCAGATCGTATCGACTCAAGACTACCATAATAACATTGTCTTGTGTTTGTATAACCATTGACGAGGGCAAGGTCCCATGGTAGAAAAGAATCATGCTAGATGTACACTTTGGTGTACAATCTCAATGACATTCCCTCCTATGCGAAGAGAATCTGTGCAATGATGTGATGTGCGTTTTCAAAATCAATGATATAGATTATATCACATGGTGAAGTGTACATATAGCATGATTAGGCAGAAAAACGATATGGTTCATCCCTTTCCTTGTGGCTTCCAACACAGTACTAAGTCCCAGTTAGTGGTCATTGTCACGTCGTAATCATCACTTGGAATATTACTTTCATTTTGAGTTTGGACGCACCTACATAACCTTGATTTTTTGGGTTTTTTGGTTGATCCAATGAAATGGTCTCAGATATTTACAATAGACTTGTGGTGTTTATTGATGAATCTAAGTGAATTGTAACCAACGATCTAACGGGCGAAGAAAATCAATTTTTATATTAGATATTTTCTTTAATGTTAAAAAAAGAAATATTTATTGTAAATTTTCTCCTCAGGAATTTATTTATTTATTATTATTTTTTACCCTCGTTAAGGTTTTGTTTTTTCTTTAAAGGAAATTCTACTCTTGAAGTTTACACAATTACTGAAGATGAAGAGATATATTACGGTACAATCTTCAATTTTTGACAAATTAAGCACTCAAACTTTTGACCTTTATGTCATTAACCTCTTATCTATGGTGCACATTTATTCTCCATTTTACCCTATAAAATTGTCACGAGGCATTGCACGTAGGCTCTTTTTGAAGGATTTTTTTTTTTTTTTTAATCAATGCTCCTCCATTTTTCTCAAAATCAACTAAGAACCCGAAAAAGAAAGACAAGAAAAGAATAAAAAAGGTCGAAAAAAAGAAGAAAGAGAGTGATAATCCACCCAAAGTCCCAAGTCCATCAAGGAATCGAAACTAGTGAGGGGAAGTCTACTTGGGTTGGAGGAGCAACCTAGAAGTATCCTAAAAATGCAATTCTTGGCAGTTTGGACATGTCTAGCCAGATTTACACCTCTAAATGAAAAAGTTGTGCAACAATAAATTCGAAAGAGGAGAGACATGTCCAGGACATAGATTGGTTGGTAGGTCGGAAAAGATAGTGAAGTCTCATATAACCTAAATACGATGTTGGTTAAGTAATAATAGATAGTCATTCAATAACTTAAACAAGGTGGAGGGACACTCTTACTGTCCTAACAAACTACCATAACTAGTTTATATATACTCATAGTCCTCGACCCAAAATTTATCCATTTTCTACATGTATATTTATCGTTGAGTAAAATGATTTCTTTATCACTTAGTACATATTGATGCAACAATAAATTGACATAATTAGCCTAATAGAGGACCACACTAGCAATATAGGCCTCCTTTTTTTTTTATATATCCTTAATGATGCTAGGCTAGCGAATTAATGTTTGTTTTCTCCTTTTCAATTTTATGATCATTCTAGTATTTTTGCCTAATTTTACTTAATATTCAAAGGCAAAAACTGAAAATTGCATTGTATATTACTATTATTTTATCCGAACTTAGTTTTGATCTATAATTACGTCCGAGTTCATCGAGGATGATTGACACATTGACTAAATAATTATTGTAAAAGAAGAGTAACGTTACGAAACACCAATCCAGAGTTGACAATTTCAAAACGTGTGGAGTCACCGCTGGTTAGAATCTTGCTACGTAACATTACTCTGATTCTACGAGAATAAGAATTAGAAGTACAATAATACTCAATGTAGCGGTCCAATCAAAGTACTTTAGTTAACCAAAGTCACGCCTTTCTCTCTTAAAGTCTTAACCTAATTAATTAATTTTCCTTTTCAATTGAAAAGCTATTTGCATTTACATCTACTCAACACTACGGTGTGTTGCACGAACAACCTAATCGAAAATGAATTTAAGAGAGATGGAAATAAATACATATCGACTTAAATAAATATCCATTCAACCCAAAGTTAACCATGGTTAGAAGTTGTCAAATCCCCTTTTTGTCTACTTAAATTAAAAGACTACATTGCTTTTAGAGCTAATTCTTGACTTCCATCAATTAATGTAAATATTAAAGTAATCTAGTTAGACTATTGCACTAATTACAATACCTTGTTGCTTTCAAAATCTCGAGAGGATTCCATTAAACTATTCGAACCACCATAATCAATAAAATTCAATTAAATCCAACCCACTAAGAAAGGGAATGAATTTATTAATATTATATTCATTGAACCCAATTCAACAAATAACTGTTGATTATTTTATTTTATTAAAGAAATGAAGAAACATATAAAAGTAGCTTGCATTAAGATCTTTGTTGTTATACTGACTTTTGAAGGTACCATCAGAAAGTTTCTTCAGATCCTAAGAAAAAGGTAAAACATGTTAAGGATTTGTTTGGCAGTAATTAATTAATCAATGATTATTGAACTTTGCTATAAATTACTATTTGCTCATCGATTTTTAAAAAGTTATTTGTTGCAACCTTAATTTGAACGAAGTTAATCGTTACCCACTGAACTTTGCTATAAATAACACCGATGGAGATTGTATAAGTGATTGATGGGTAATTTGTTCAAATTTGGGTGAGAATCGAGTAACCTTTCAAATTTCGGTGAACAAGTAATAATATATAGCAAAATTCAGTAAGCAAAGATTTTTAAATTTCGATGAGCAAGTAGTAACTTTTAGCAAAGTTCAATGACCATTGATTAAATTAATCCCGTTTGGCACAATTTATTTTTAATTATATATTTTTTAATAAAATAATTTTATACGTAAACTCAACTCCACGTTTAGAAAAATCATTTGACGCTTCAAATAATTTATCCCAAACAAACCCTAAATTCTGATAAATGAAAATGAAAAAGAAAATTACTATAAAGGCCTTCTCTGCGTACGTGCGATGACTTTTATCTGCGTACTTTTTTTGCATATATACCTTCTAAGACATAAATCATAATAGGGAGTTGGGTAGAGAGAACTGAGAGATTATTGTTGTGAAGGGAGTTGGGTTGCAAATATGTATTGAAGAAAATCAACGGTTTATTCAGTTCCTGGTTTTGCTAGGGCTTATGTCTTCTTACTTTGGTTCTGAATATTAGTTTTCTTTTTTGTTATTGGCTGATTTTTTTTTTTTTTGTGTGTTGTTGCTGAAGATAGATGGGAGGTTGTAAAGTTGAGTTTTTTTGTTGAGTGAGAGCAGATAATTTTACGGGGTTTTCAAATTTGTGGGGAAAAGTTGGATTTTATGGTGTTTTTCTGCTGAACTAAACAAGGAGAACGAGAAGATTTTGATCGAGTTTTTGATGTTTGTGCAGATGGATTTGTTTGGTAACCGGAGATAAAAGAGGTAAGAAATTAAATTTCTTTTGGTTCAATTTATTATATTGTTGTTGATAAGGAAAAAAAGAAAAATTATTGTGTAGAAGCTATTGGTTTTTTATTATACATAAGAAATCTACCTTTAATTTTGCAGCTATGGATGTTTGAAGTGTGATAAACGAGATTATAAAGAAAGAGCCTTCTATGCATTGAGTTTTGGGTTTACTGTGAGATAGAATTGTTGATTGAGATGATTACATTTATAGAATCTACAGAGAAAATGAAGGAAAACAAGAATCGTTTGGATTCTCAATTATGGCATGCTTGTGCTGGTAGTATGGTCCAAATGCCTTCGGTGAATTCAAAGGTGTTTTACTTCCCACAGGGGCACGCGGAGCACGCCTCAGGAAATGTAGATTTTAGGAGCTGCCATAGAGTTCCGGCTTATATACCTTGTCGGGTTTCTACAATTAAATTCATGGCGGATCCTGAGACTGATGAGGTTTTTACGAAAATGCGATTGGTTCCTGTTAATGGGAATGAGGCTGATTTTGATGAAAGTGAGGTTGTTGGGATGAATGGTTCTGATAATCCTGATAAACCCTCTTCATTTGCTAAGACATTAACACAATCTGATGCAAATAACGGTGGGGGTTTTTCTGTACCAAGATATTGTGCGGAAACAATTTTTCCTCGACTGGACTACTCTGCTGACCCTCCTGTTCAGGCCATTTTGGCAAAGGATGTTCATGGGGAGACTTGGAAATTCAGGCACATTTATAGAGGGACACCAAGGCGCCATCTCTTGACAACAGGATGGAGTACTTTTGTGAACCGCAAGAAGCTCGTGGCAGGTGATTCGATTGTGTTTCTGAGGGCTGAAAATGGGGATCTTTGCATTGGAATCAGGCGTGCAAAGAGAGGAATTGATGGGGCACCGGAAATGCCATCCCTATGGAATCCGGCAGGTGGCAGTTGTGTCATGCCTTATGGAGTTTCAGACTTCACGAGGGAAGACGAGAATAGATTGACGAGAACTGGTAGTGGAAATGCTGGCAGGAATTTAATTGGAAAGGGAAGAGTGAAGCCTGAATCAGTTATTGAAGCTGCAACTCTTGCTGCCAACGGAAAACCTTTCGAGGTGGTTTATTATCCTCGAGCTAGCACTCCCGAGTTTTGTGTTAAGGCGTCTCTTGTAAAGGCGGCGTTGCAAATTCGTTGGCGCTCCAGCATGAGGTTCAAGATGGCCTTTGAAACAGAGGATTCTTCACGAATAAGTTGGTTCCTGGGAACCGTATCGTCAGTTCAGGTTGTTGACCCTATTTATTGGCCGGATTCACCTTGGAGACTTCTCCAGGTATTGCAGTTAATGTTAAATATATCTTGTTAGTCGGGTTATAGTTATTTCTGCTTTTAAATTTTGCACGACATAATGCTAAAAGTTTATGCTTTCCGCACAAATATCTGCTCAAGCGCGATGTTCCAAAGGTAATTGAATAAAATCTTGTATGCTATTTCCTTACAAGCTTGCAATAATGCTGTTATATTTTGGATCATAAGTATTTGGTTCAGTTGATTATAATAATTGCATGATATTTCCTACAAGTTTACCAGATAATTTAGGATTAATTTTCTTCTCTCGGTACTCTGCTAGTTTTTTGAACCAATTGTACCAATCAGTTTTTCTCTTCTTTTTTTTTTTCCCGTAGATCTTTTCACAAATTGATAGAAGCCACTTATTTTAAAAATATGTACCTGTGTGATATTGCTTGGGTTTAAATTTGTGAGTATGCGGAATGGGTCCAATTATTGATGCTTTCTCAACTTTTACTTGCTGAAAGCTTTTAAGGTTTAACTTTGCAATATTGTAATATTTTCTGAAATTTGATACAAAGCTTTACCTTTGCAAGAGGACTGGACATTCTTTTCTTGTTTTTCCATGTACGTCTTTAATTTAAGATGACTTATTGCAGGTGATTTGGGACGAGCCTGATCTACTTCAAAACGTAAAACATGTGAGCCCATGGCTGGTAGAATTAGTGTCAGACATGCCTACCATCCATCTCTCTCCTTTTTCACCACCGCGAAAGAAATTAAGGTTACCACAACATCCCGACTTCCTTCTCGATGGCCAACTTCCATTGTCAGCTTTTTCGAGCAACCTCATCCTTGGTTCCAGTAACCCGTTTGGTTGTCTTCTTGACAATACTCCTGCTCGCATGCAGGGAGCCAGGCATGCTCAATATGGTCTATCGATATCAGATCATCAACTCAGTAAGCTACAGTCGAATTTGTTTCCAGTTGGTTTTATGCCGCTTGATCGAGCTTCTTTACATACAGGAACTTCCAATTTAATCATAACCAAGCCAGGTAACAACGAAAATGTTTCTCGTATGCTATCCATGGGAAATTCCAACCAAGCTTCAAAAAGAAATAATAACAAGGCAGGCCAATTTGTACTTTTTGGTCGACCAATTCTTACTGAGCAGCAGATTTCTCTGAGTCGCTCCGGTGGTACAGTTTCACCAATTCGCACAGGCAATATTTCTTCAGGCGGAAATGAAGATAAGATAGGAAATACTTTTGATGGACCAGTTTCAGCTCTTAATCAACATGATGCACCAAAGCACTCATTATGTGAAGGATTTCATTCGGAGCTCAATTCCGAAACCGGTCACTGCAAGGTTTTCATGGAATCGGAAGATGTAGGTCGTACATTGGACATTTCTTTGCTCAGTTCTTATGAAGAACTATACAAGAAATTGGAAAATATGTTTAATGTTGATAGTTCGGAGATGCTGACTCATGTTGTGTACTGGGATGTCACAGGCGCAGTGCAAAAGCTTGGTGATAAACCATTTAGGTAAGAGTCATTAGTGCTTTCATATATGATAACGTGGTTTGTTCCTTCTAAATGAACTTGTTTTCACTTATATGTTTCGTTTATGGATGTTGCAGTGACTTCATGAAAACAGCGAGAAGATTGAAGATTTTTGCTGATTCAAAGAACAATAATGTAGGAATGTAGAGCCATAAGCCCATAAACAAACAGCAAAACCTCTGTTGCATAGTACAGCTGAACTACTGAAAGCTTTGTTCCTAACCTCTATCTCCACATCCAAAAGACGCATTTGGCTGATTTTCAAAATTGATTCACCCTATGCACTTTCTGAAATTCACCACCAGAATTGAAACAGGAAAACAGGAACTCCTATATGTGCCTGACTAGTGAGGAGTTTTCTTTTTTTTTTTGCCTGATTCTCAAGCCTCCTACTGCCGAGATATCCGGTGTTTTCAGTGACATGTTTCTGGAAAATCTATCCCTAGAATATCCGTACCTCGTTTTATATCTCTTGGAGAGTTTCCAACGTCCTGTTTGGAGGTATGTTCAGGGATTTCTTCATAGCATTTTCTAGTTTTTTTTAAGACAAATTACTACAAAGAACAAGTTGAGCTTGCTTTTTGTGGGCTTTTGTCTTCTAAGAAGACAATATTAGTACACATTTTCTGTTATGTTGGTTTTTGAGAGGAAAAACATTACCTTATTCTGTAAGCATAAAATGAATTTTCTCTGTACAGCTTTGGCATATGTCTGGGATCTTGTTACATTTTACGTGCACGTGTTTTAAAGAAAATTACGATCAGATTTATAGCTGAAAATTTCATGACAAAGTCGACAATATTTGCCAATCACCGGCGATGATAAAGTCGACTCGACTCATCATTATTGTTCATTGCAGTGTATAGTATTATAGTGCCGTGCACATAGGTCGCATGCTACACTAAATCCTTGACTTGAAACATTGAAAAGTGAAATGTTTACGAGAAAAAATGTTCCCTTTCTCATGGTACCTGGCTGATTATTTGCCACTCGTGTGTGAGAATGAGAGGGCCCACGGCAACAATATGTTCACGTGCGGGTAGTAGTTGATTTTGCGTGCATTGTAATAAATAAATTTTCTTTCTTTAATTAAAGCCCTATTAAATACGTATATTATCGTAAAATAAGGTTTTTCTTACTATGGATTCAAAAATAAGAGTTATCGATGTGCATATAAAAGAGGATTCAATTTTCGTCGAGTTTTCTTTGTTTCTAGTAGATATAATGTAATATCAAATTGCATCACGAAAAAACTCATAATATTCGAGCATAAAAATTAATTTATTGTAATTATCGATACACAACTTATGTAAAAGTAATTCAAAGTATACGATTTTAATTCCATTAATGTGTGGGCACGGGGAACCGACAGTGGAACACGAACCGAAAGCCTAGTACATTTGGTGACAAGATTATGAGTTGGATCACGTGAAACAACCAACAACGTTGGATCAACGCCATCTTTTCCTTTTTACTTGTTTTAATTTTAATTTATTTCATGTGTTGATGTTACAACACTTGGCATTAATTAATAGCGAACCAATTCCTGCCGAATAACCGGCTTGATTAGTCTATTATGTGGTCGTACGATTGAGAATTTGTTGGTGATAAAAACTTCAGTACTTGAATAAAGTTGTACAGTCTAATTATTCTCGCCGTGATGGCTGTTATTTTCAAATAAAATTGTGTTGAATGATGATTTTAAAGAATTTGTGGTTAAAATGTATGATTAATTTTGTATTTATGTGTAGAATATTTTATCGTGTGATGTTTAGTTGAAATAATTAGTTTGAAAATAATGGTTGTCAAACATAGGCTAAGTATAGTTTATGAATTTAATATTTATAATTTTGATTTTGTCCTAATTTTTCTTATAAATTTAGAAAAAAAGATATGCAACTTTTCTTTCATAAAATTCTTTTCATCCTAATAAATTACTACACTACGTGAATTGAGGACGTAATCTCATATTGAGTCGATTTTTAACAGATCTTGCAAGTTCTTGTCTGTCTATTTTCTTTCTATGATTTTTTTTCGCTTTCGATAGCATATAATTACGATTTCTAATTCTGGACGTAGGATAATTTTTCGAGTGAATTTTAAGATGGGAGAAAAAAAATAAAATTGCATAGTGATAATAGCACATTGAAAAGGGAAATGAGGAGAGAAGCAAACAATTACTTTGTTTTCAGTATCCAACATCACTATTCATCACCCACACTTTGTGCCATGATTTCTATCAAAGTGATAATGTAAAAACGACACAATCAATGAGATAAAAATAAGAAAACAAACACATATGCATATGCATACGTAGGCACCTGTTAAGCATGCATATGAACAGGAGGAGTTGTCTTGTTGGGATTACGTTGGCTTCGGAATTACGTTAACGAAGTGACAGTTTCCTTGTGGTACCAACGTCAGGCGCAGAAAAGCTGTCTCTGAAGCTCCAATGTCCACACCAAAACAGTAGGGTCGCTTTCAGTTTTGTGACAAGTACGTCACCGGCTTTTAATCTTCTATCATCGTAAATGTTTCGGTGGGACGCTTTTCTATACACTCAAGTAATAATACACATCACTTAGGTAATGGAATCTTGAATACTATCATTCAAATCAAGACGGGGGCGGCCCCACTCCACAAAAATTTAGGTTCAGTTGTTTAGAGCCCTTTACAAACCACTTTATTACACTGAAATCGAAATATTGTATTCTTTAATACTATTTCGAAGTGCTAATGACCTAGCTTTTTTGCTTTTTAATGGTGTGCGAAACAATCGATCGTAACAAAAGTTATGACGTATCAAAGTAGGTCGTTTCAAACTAGTATTTCATGAACTTCGATAATATGTCAACTTTCAAAATTCGCCTAAGATCGTATATTGCATGGTCCAAACGGATATCAAAAATAATTAAATATACGTCAAAAGTACGTCTTAGAAGAGGTGTCTATCTCGTCTTTTAATCATATATAATTCTTAATCTGATGTTAAATTTTTGTGAAAGAATGTGTTTTTGAATAGTGATTGATGGAAGAATGTGTGGTTAAAAAGTAAGGAGAATTTTTAGGTTTATGTGTAATATTATTTTATTGATAGAATGTGTGGTTGAAATGAAGAAAGAGAAAAAAAATGAGAATGAGAATGAGAAAAAAATG